AAGGGAAAGAAGGAGAAATTTTGTATGTATGTATATACAGGACAGTTCACATAGTTGAACTTCTGTCTTCTATTTCTTTCCTGAAAGAAACAGTTAATGATTCTTTGATTGATCAATATTGCATGTCTCTATTTGTTTTCCTGAGAAACCACTTTGAAGATATCAATATGTAATACAACAAGCATTGTTAATTTCCCATGACTTTGTTTGTAACTCTGTATTGTTGGTATTGTTCTTTTGCTATTTTGTAAAAAAAGAAAAAGAAAAAGAGAACTGTCTTTTTGGGGAGACAATGGGATTTTTTTATGCAGAAAATACATAGAATCTGCAAAAAAGTTACTAGAAATAATAAGTGAGTTTAGCAAGTTTATAGGATATAAGATCAATATACATACATGAATTATTTCCATGTGTTAGTAATGAAAAATCAAAATTAAAACAAAAATATGAAATAGATATAAATCTGACAAAAGATAGGAAAACTACAAAACACTGCTGAGAAAAATTAAAAGAACTCTAAATAAATGGAGAGATACATTGTGTTAATGGATCAGAAAAGGAAATATTATTAAAATGACAATTCTTTCCAAACTGGCCTATAAATTCCATACAATAATAACCAAAATCCCAGCATTTTTTAGTTGAAGTTGACAAACTTAGGCTAAAATTCATCTAGAAATGCAAAAGTCCTAGAATATCAAAAATAACTTTAAAAAAGTAACATAGTTGAGGACAAACACCACCTCTTATAAATCTATCATAATAAAGACAGTACAGTATTGGTAAAAAGATAAACAGATCAATGGAACAGAATGGATAGTCCATAAATAGAATCACATGTATGTAGTCAGTTGGTTTTCAATAGAGGTACAAAAGCAATCAGTGGGCAAAGGACAGCTTTTTGCAGCAACTAGTTCTGGAACACTTTTATTTGGCTATCCAAAGATATAAGAATTTCATTTATATTTCACACTAATGCAAAAAAAAAACCCCTTGAAATGTACCATAGGTATAAATATAAAATTTAAGACTGTAACAGTTCTTTAAATAGGAGAAAATCTACAAGAATTCAGCTTAGGCAGGGATTTTTCATATGATGCCATAAGAATGATCTATAAAAGAAAACATGAGTATATCAGACTTTATTAAAGTCAAAGATGTTAGCCTTTTAAAAGTCTGTTAGGAGGATGAAAGTGCAAGCTATAGGCTGGAGAAAATGTGCACAATTCAATTCATATACCTGATAATGGATTTATATCTAGAATATAAGAAAAAAACTTTAAATGCAATAAAAAAAACCCATGGCTTTTGAAAATAGGTAAATGATTGAAACTGACATTTCACCAAAGGAAGTATAAGAATAGCATATAAACAAATGAAAATATGCTCAACATCATAGCCATTATGAACATGAAAAACAATACCATTACACACCTACCTAAAATTAAAGACTGATCATACTATGTGTTGGCAAGGGTATGAAAAATAAGTGGAACCCTTGTACTGATTATAGTAATCTAAAAACGACACAATGACCTTGGGAAAACAATCTGAGTTTCTTTAAAAGCATTTTTCAGATGATCTATACAACCCAGAAATTCTACTCATAGATATTTACCGAGAAAAATGGAAGCAAAGGTTCATATAAAGACTTGTACACAAATGTCCATAGCAGCTTTCTTTGCAATAACCAAGATGTGGAAATAAATTAGATGTCCATCAAGGGATGAAAGAATAAACGAACTGTGACATATCCATATAGCAGAATCCTACTCAGCAATAAAAAGATAAATTACTGACACATGCTAAATATGTATAAAACTCAAAATAATTATGCTGAGTGAAAGAAGGAGGTTCACAAAGAAGTGAACTCTCCTAACAAGAAAAGAAAACCAAGGACATCCCATATGATTTCATTTATATAAAATCTTGGAAAATGAGAACTACTTAGATCAGTGATTGCCTGGAGATAGGGTAGCGACAGGAGACGGCAGGAAAGGAGGGATTACAAAGAGGAATAAAGACATTTCTGAGATTAACTATTTTGATTACCGCAATGCTTCATGGGTATAAATATTTGTCAACACTTCTCAAGTTGTACATTTCTAATGTGTGATGATGTACCATTTTAGTTTTAATTTATATTTTCTTTTTTTTTGGTTTTTTTTTTCAGTACCAGGAATTGAACTCACGACCTTGTGCTTGCCAGGCAGGCACTGTGCTGCTGAGCTTAATCCCCAGCCCCTTAATTTATATTTTCTTAAAGACTAATGAGACGTCTGTATACATTTGATCACTTAGGCTTGTAGCCCATGAGAAGGAACTGGGCTGGATTGAAAACCCTGAAATTGTAGAACACATCATTGGTGCATTTCACAAAGTTTACTCCTGATTCCAGAGAACCCTGTGGTCTCTGATAGTAAGAGTTTCCATGGTGACATCCCCAGCAGGTGTGTGGTAGCCCTAGTACCTTGGGCCCACTGCGGGACCTGCAGGGTCTGGTAGCCTTCTGAGAACAAGAACATGACCTTATTGGCTGTGGCCCCAAAGGCAACTCCATAGGACCATCGGTTACTAAAAGTCCCCACGAAGTCCAGAGGCCTGTAGACAACAGAAACAGCTGGTGAGGCCAGAAGATGACTATGAGACAACATTTCCAGAGATCATTTCCAAAACAGCTTTCCCACGTGGAGGAGGAATTATTGGATGGTGAACTATTTTAATGCAACTGAAATTTTCTGAATCCCCCTAAGCTAGGTCTAGAGCTAGGCCTGGATTCAAGGTACTGAAGTGAGGAAGACAAAATTCTTTCCCTGGAGGAGCTCCACATTTAATAGGGGATGTAGCAAATGCTAGTAGGTATGACACAAAGCAAAGTGCGACAAGTTAGGTCTGTATGACTTGACAAATCAAAACTAGGAACATGTCCCACACAGTTTGGGGCAACCTGCCCCACACCCAAATCTTCCTAAGAGACTTCTTCCTCTCAATATTCCTGAGGAGGGACTGGGGATCATTTATGCTGACATCATGTGATTGAAGGAATTAATACTATGCCACTTCAAAATATGCCATCTGGCATGTAGAATACTTTGAGTTAAAAATATTTTTTAAAAAACAAAAACAGCAGGTAGAAGATCACTTTGATCTTCATGCTGTCTCCAAAAAACAAAAGGTGATGCCAGGCATAGTGGCGCACACTATAATCCCAGCATTCTGGGAGGCTAAGGCAGGAAATTTGCAAGTTTGAGCCTACCTGGGCAACTTAGCAAGACCCTGTCTCAAAATAAAAAATAAAAAGACTGGATATGTACCTCAATGTGAAAACCTTGAATTCAATCCCCAGTATTAAAAAAAAAAAAAACCAAAAAACCAGAAGATGAAATCTCATGTGAAAGATGCCTTTCTACATAGGGAAAATAATATTCTTATAATCAAGGATTGAGAGTTGAGACTGAGAATACTGCACAGATCTTATTAAAATAATTTATCCTGTAGGCTCTCCACATCATTTAATTACTTTTTCACAATTTTTTGTCTACTTCAATATATACAGGCTTAACTTTAACCACATCTCTGGATTTTCATTTCCTTATGAGGGTGTCTGGGTCATGTAAAACTATAGTAAATACAGTTGAATGTTTTTTCTCCTGTAGACCTGTTTTATTTAATTCTCAGGCCCAGCTGGAAAACCCTAAGAGGTCAGACATGAAATTTTGCCTTCCCTCTATAAGCATGCCTTCCTGGCCATAGTGGACTGGACCTGTCTTTGGATGAGCCAGGCATATATCTAGTCCTGAATTTTGGACTTGTGATCCTGAGTCTATGAGTGAGCTGGTGATAATCTGGTCTGGAAAATTACACCAACATTGGCTCAGAGTCAATGCTAGAGGAAAGCCAAAGTCACAGGGAAGCACAGATTCTAAGTCAGATAGCAGAAAGGCACATGGAGAAATGGTGCTGGGGGTGAGAGACTGCTAACACAAAGAGCAGAAAGAGAAAGAATTAATCTCTCCCGGAGTCTCATTTCTAGAAAGCCAGTTCCCATGGGGCCATCTTTGTTTCTGTGAAATATCAGCAACTTGATTAAAGAAAAACATTTTTTTCTTTCCTGTAAGAAGCTGGAATGGATATGTATTTTTTTCTAACCAAGAGTATTTTATCTATATCAGAGTAAGCAATGGCATTTGGGAAAAAAGACAGCCTTTCCAACCCAAAACATCCGTTTGAACTTAGGGCCTTAGTGACTATGTGGATGGCCAAAGAGCAGGGCCTCTCCATAGATGTGTGCAATAAATAAACTCTGTGATGGTGACAATGACAATGATGATAATGATGGTGGTGATGATGATGATAATGATAAGGTAATGAGGCAGATTAACTAGAACTCAAGGAAAAGTATGATCAAGGGTGCAGAGATTCTAAATGACAGAGCTAGAAAGGCTCTGAAACTCCCCTGGTCCAGCAGGATTTGGTGCACAGGTCATGGCACCATCCCAACAAGAAGCTTTCTGCCAGGAGTCACAGGAACTCCCTTCCTCTTGTTTCCTGAGGTGACCACAGTCCTGAGCGAGGAAAGGCCTTTTCCATAGTGGCCTGAACCTCCATAAGGGATTCATTCATATCCAGGCAGCCCTGGGTGCTGAGGGTTGCAATGGCTTGGAAGCCTGTTCTGCCCTCTCAGAGCTTTGTCTGGGTTGAGGAAGGGATGGGCAGGGCTGCACATGGTTAGGAAGAGGTTATGGGAGAACTTTGGAGCTGTGTGGCTTTCCGATTGGCCTTGGCCCCAACCACAGGGTATCCCAGGCCACAGAGACTGACCCTGACTCAACTCACATGATGATTCCAAAGCGGCTCTCCAGGAGGTGAGTGGTATCATCTTTCTGTCTGCGGTGCTCTTGTCTTTGGAGGAAGGATAAGACCAAAATGATGAGAAACTGTAAGAGAAGAGGAACAAGTTAGTAGGCTGTTTATCCTCAGCCTGACCCCCACAGAAAGAGACTGTGTAGGTGAGAAGAACACTCAGAATGTCCAAGACATCTCCAGTTCAGGGCTGTGGGCTGCCTTCATACACATGAGTGG